AGCACGTAAGAGCGTGTGCAGCAAGAAGTCCCAATTACCATCCACATCGATTTGAGGGTGAACATCCCAAGCCACCTGTTGTAGATGGTCATGTAGAGCTCGCACATTCAGCCGTTTAAAATTCCATCGCAAATTATTGTTGGGATACCTTAGCTTAGTTTTGATGACAAAACTGAAGGCTATGACGGCATGATCGCTTTTTCCCAGAGGAGCCAGGATTGAGAGGTTGTCGACTAGGAATTCTTCGTTAGTGAATACACAGTCTAAGCGCGATGGTGTCTGACTGTTTCTCCAACGAGTTGCCGACCTCACATTTTCATATAAGCCCAAGTTATCGATGAGGTTGAAGAACCGAGCTTCAGTTGAGTTGTCGCCTCCAGTGTACGTGTGTTCCGCGAAGTTGACTCTAGGGAGATTAAAGTCCCCTAGAATCAGGATGTGTGTGAAACCGAGACGGATAGAGCGGGATAGTCCTTCCAGCATACGACTATCGTACTCGGTGTCGGCAGTTGGCTTCCTGTAAATGACTCCGACTAGACACCTGGAAGTACTAGACAACCTTACAGAGCACCATATGGATTCCTCAAGATTGTTAAACTCGAGGTTGTGAACCTGGTGCACCTCCAAGCAAGAGCTAATGTATATGGCTACTCCGCCCCCAATTCCTATTTTTCTGTCGTTGCGGAACAAAGTCATCCCAGGTAATGCTAACTCTTGATCCGAGAACTGAGAAGATATCCAGGTTTCAGATATTCCTATCAGATGGGCCTTGCTAGCGTTGCTAAGTTCACGTAGTTCATCCAGTTTGTTTGGTAAACTCGCGGCGTTCGTATATAAGCAGTTTATGCTTTCAATTTGGAACGCATGAGCTTCGTCCTGTTTTTCTGTATGAACCTTATGTGAATGGACAGGTAGCCCACCTATATGAGGTTTGCCGAGGTGGTAGGCCCTGTCCTTTACACGTTTTTTTTATCGTTTAGACAGTCCACAAGTGGAATGGTCAGCTCCAGCTTGCCTTTGTTCTTGGTCCTGACTTCGTATGGCCTATCCGGGTGCATGTGGATTCCAGGTGGCAATCGACGTCTATTAGCACGAAATGCTTCCAGAACTGCAGCCGCCATGTGGGAAGATGGGAAGGTTATCTTCATTAGACGGGGTCTAAGATCACCGTCCTTCTTGGCTAGTCTCGTCACATGCTGAGTCAGTATGTGTTTGAGCCTCAAGGACTGTTTGATGAATTTCCATTCCCTGATGTCAGAATTTGATTGAGTAGGGTCTGCATTTTCCGGTATACCTTGGACAATTATGTTTCTTCCGCGGAAGAACTTCTCGCGAGATTCTTTAGGGACGTTTCGTATGATATTGCGCTCAGAGTACGGTATGTCGGGCAATATTCTTACGTTACCATCTGATTTCAGTAAGTGACTTGCTAGCAAGACGTCCTCTACGTCGGTAGCATTCTTAAGTGTTACTCGGAGAAGCCTCGGGTGATTTAGATGCTTAGAATCCTTTCCTCGAGTGAGCCGGGTGACCGTCAAAGGCTCTATTCTAGGAAGTTCGAGCTTTTTGTTCAATTCACCCCACAGCATCCTGTCGTTTTTATCCTGCAGACTGAGAGGAAGGTCAGGATTGTCGACGAGGTTCATGATAATGAGAGAATCGTCACGAACTGTTGTTAATTTACCAATCAATACAACGTGTGCACTACAATACAGAGAGGGCTAAATAAATGTTCTTCGCAATGATTTTGCGGTTTCGTTTCAGCAAAAGATCACTTAAATATGAAAACACGTGATATTCCGGCAACACAACAAGCGCAATCACAACCTAGAGCAGCTGAAATACGGAATTACCGCTCTTGTCAGGCCGTTCAAGGTCGTTGAAATGAAAGAGAGGGCGGCATTGAGAACATCTGGCTTTTTTCAACGTTCCGCTCTATGTGCACCATGCTAATTATTAACACGGAAGAATAAAGATAAACTATATAGTGACTAAGTTATGCTATATCTATCAAGCAACTCCATATCAGGTGATTATTATTGTGAGTATTAGCATTAGTACTGTTATCATTATTATTGTAAGGAAGTCACTGGATGGATGTCATCAGATCAAGCTTGTCGTTTCGTCTAGTTCGGTGTGGGCTGAAATTTTCATTTATAGGTCCAGTTTTATAAGCCACGATACACGCGTTTATTGAAATATGAATTCGACACTTCTCAACGATGTACGTTTTGACACTCGACTCATTTCATTGCAAAATATGAGACATTTGAAAAGAGATTTTTGATTATTTCAAAGTCCTTAAGAGCCATATTTCTGTGTTGATCTCATTACCAGGACAACGCATTTATTGACCAAAGTTGGCTAAACACAAATGGGCCAATATTGCTTATTGATGCGGCGTTTTACACATACGTCACATACATATACTGTTCAATACTTATTAGCATTTATGACTTTACCGGTCTGGTTTAAATACCTTATGCATGTAGATGGTTTGTGAATTATCAAAAAGAACATTCACGACGAAGTTCGGAGCGTTCATTATTTAGGTGATGAGTTTGACGTCAGTTAACTGAACCAAAATTGTGATTAATTCAGAATAAACTGAGTTCGTGTTTTTAGTCGCAGCACAACCTCTGCTGTAAGTGTTGCTGTCTGGATTGTTTAAATGGTATCGAACAAATAAGGTACACATACTCACCCAATGAGGCAATCTTGGAGTAACAAATCGTTCTCCATACGCATTGATTATATGATTCTAAAAATTTGACCGCGGATTCAATAAATATACGTATTCTTGAACACTTTGAATCAAATCACAATTCTTTATAAAATCTAATTAGGTGGATGATTGCATGCCAAGTCGGATGCATAACAACAACTCCAATGAATATTTAATAAGAGTTTCCGAATCTTCAATAATCCATTGAATGACTGCTTGAAATACATTCTTTACATGTTTACAATTTGAAGTATTTTCTTGAAGAATTGGCCGAATGTGGTTTACACTTAACTTTTTGAAATCCGGTGTTGACCATATTTTTCGAAATTTGCTAAAATCGTCTCGTGTGCCTAGTTCAAGCCAATAGGACGATTTTAAAAGACGCTCAAAATATATGTTTTGTTCAGTTATTTCTATAGCGATTATGTCACATGTTTCACCAGATTCCATAAATTCCATAGTATGATCCTAGAGAAAGTCTAAATCACTAACTATCGGCTGGATATTTGTATCACGAAGTCGTGCACTATGAATAGGTTTGTACATACAACGTCGTCTAGAGGCACTTAATTTATGTGAACGCAAACGCTCTCCGTTTTCAGATCCTTTCTTTGGTGACGGTGGTTACTCAATTGTGGACCCTTCCAAACTTGAACTGTTACTTGAGCAGCTGCAAATGTTGATAGAGAACAATCTTACGCCTCCCTCACAACCAAGCACATCTAGTTCATCCACGGCACTATCAGAAGATGGCATCGCAAATAAGATAGCTGAATTCCATTACGATCCTGATGCTAATGTTACTTTTGAGATATGGTTCATGCGTTATGAAGATCTATATAAAATTGATTTCCCTAATCAAGATGATGCTTGAATTTGATGCAACTGAGCTGGACAAGTGTTGCAATCTGATCCTGCCTTTGAACAGACGTGACCGGTCATTTACAGACATAGTTCAAAGATTAAGCCATTTTGGCGATAACTCATCACTGTTTAATACTTGTTATCGATGCTTGAAGCTAACCTTGAACGAAGATGGTGATTTACTTACGCATGTGGGCGTCGTCAACCGTAAATGCGAACACCTCCGGTTGAAGTCCTTTACTGAAGATCAGTTTAGAGCTCTGATCCTCATTTGCAGTCTGCAGTACCAAAAGTTCAGTGACTTACGAACAAGTCGGTTGGATCAAATGCTGAAAGTCACCCAGAGTGATATAGCTAATGAATATAAACGTCTAACGAATATGCAACGAGACACTTCTATGGTCCAGAGTGGTGGGTCTAGTCGATCTTAAGTACGAGCGGTGCAACAGACACTCTACACAAACAAATACGTCCCTGCTTCATCCAGTCTATCCCACTCCAGTTCGAGACGACACACTGAAGCGAATCCCCCTACTCCTTGCTGGCAATGTGGTGCATGTCATTACGTTCGACACATAGATGCAAGAAGTGTAAGGTTGTCGGTCATAAGGATGGGTTTTGTCTGAAGAAGAAGAATCCAAGTCAATCCAGAAGTGCCAAAAAGACCCTTCCTACATCCCGCACCAGTTCTATAAGATTAGTATCTTCGTGTCAAAGCTCATCAGGTGACAGAAGATTTATTACTGCTAATATTAATGGCCATTCATCTGGACTGCAAATAGATACTGTTTCAGGTGTCACTTGCAGAATCCAAACTACGGTTTGGATATTGAAGAATAGCCTCCCGTGACTTTAGACACGCGCCCTTCCCCGTCGAAATCAGAACAAGTAATCGGGTAAACAGCGGTTCTATAACTCATAATAAATTTAATGTCAATCATTACCTAAACAAATATTATCACCCGGCTATTCAACCAATGATTGTTCAATCAATTAAATCTAAATTACAATAAATAAAGAAGTTGATAGAAGATGAGGAAAAATTACCAGTCACAACAAATGAACGTTATTCTATCCTGACTGGATAGATCACACACAACAGGAGGAACAAATCAATATGGCTACCGCCAAGAACAAGTGTCAAGTAAAACAACGCAGATGCAGTTCAGGAAGAAACACAAACTTAGTGAATGCGTAATAAAAACAAAAACTATAACAAAAAATACAAATATTAACAATTCAAATGTAATCAAAATACAACAATGTACAACTAAGGGGATCAATAGGAACAAAGCACAAGTATATACATGGAGGGATTTTCACCAACACACAAAACATTCAAAATGGATCTTACATCACTATCCTCTCACGTAAGACTTGTACCAAAATGGGGAGCCCAAACTTGAAGCGTAAAATGCAATAGCCTCGTGCTGCGTGTGGTAAGTATATTCACCTGCTAGGACAAATGGGATGTACAGTTACTTTCCTTGGGGCATGTTGCATAACGCCAGCTGATCTAAATATACTCGGCTTAGATGCCCATCCCCACTTATGTCTCTGCACTACGTTCCTTCCTGGGACTTTTCAGCTACTACTCAGCGTTCATTCCATCGATGCATGATATTTGCGCTCCACCGACTGGCTCACTGCAGAAAGACAGCTCTTCGAACTGGACTAAATAGTGTGACGCCGCATTTTGTAAACTGAAGTCCATTATTAGTTCGGAATCGCTGTTGACACCTTACAATCTAGCCATGCCGATCATCGTAGCGTCAGACGCTTCAGCGTGTGGCCTAGGCGCTGTTATACCACATCGGTTCCCGGATGCGTCGGATAAAGCCGTTATTGATGCGTCCCACATTCTAAACTCATAAGAAAAATACACAGCCAGATACAAAAAGGAGCTCTTGCACTTGTGTTCGCTGTGCGCCGTTTTCACAAGTTCCTGTACGGTCGGAGATTCACGCTTCTCACAGATCATAAGTCTTAGCTCGTAATATTCGGGTCGAAATTTGGTATTCCACCTCATTTTGCGAATCATCTTGAGAGATGAGCTCTAGCACTCTCGGGGTATGATTTCGAGATCCAGTACCGACGCACCCAAATATTCATTCAGGCGGATGTCTTATCACGACTCATTGATGACCATTTGGCGGCTGCGGAAAACACAGTAATCGCTTTTCTGCTAGCGGAAGACCATGCCGAATGTTATCTGACGACCGCAATACGAGCTTTGACGGTGTCTGCAACGGACATACAAAATGCTTCTAGGAGCGACATCATCATCAAGATGACTGTGAGCTATTTCACCAACGGTTGGCCGTCTAAGAAGTTTGATGGTGACATGAAACAGCTGTATCAGCGACGGCATTCGATAAGCACTGTAAATGACTGCTTGATGTTCGGAGAAAGAGTGGCTGTGCCAGAATCCGTTCGTGCAAAAGACGAATTAAATCCTTAGCCAGGAGTAATGCATATTAGCCGCTAATGGATCAACATATAACAGAGTTGATTGGAAAATGTATGTGGTGTGACCAAGCGGCGAAGTTGAACGCCAAAGTTCCACCAGTTTCATGACCACAAACTGATCATCCTTGGTCCAGGACACACGTCGACTTTGCAGGCCTGGTTAACGGAACCATGTATCTAGTTGTAGTCGACGCCCCTTCGGAATGGTCAGAAATCAGCCTTATAATACCGCCAACGACGACTATAACAATATAAATCGTCACAGAATTTTTTTCCCGAAAGTTATACCAGATGCCATTGTATCTGACAACGGTTCACGGTTCATCTTCAGCCAATTCCAGTCATTCTGTCAACGGCTAGTCGTAAAGCACTTTCGATCGCCACAATCCCACCTGCAGTCGAGTGGGCAAACAAAAGGGTTTGTGGATACGTTTAAAAGAGCTTTGGCTTAGTCAAATGGGGAGGGGACGCCAGTGGACGCGTTGCAAAATTTCTTACACGTGTACCGAACAATACCAAATGAGATGTTGCCGGAGCAAAAGTCCCCAGCAGAGATCCTTATGGGAAGAAGACTGAACACGATCCACAGCCTGATGCATCCAAGTAACGCACTGATACCAGTACGGACAAAGTTTGAAAAGCAATCCACGTACGAAGTGGGATGTCCTGTGTTTTCCCGTAACTACAGACTAACCTCTGGTCCATGGACGGAAACGCGGGTGGTCAGCAGAGTTGGCCGAGTCATGTACGAAGTTGAGGTAGGCAGTGACATGTGGCAACGCCTTTGGAATCAGTTACGCAAACGGCTAGCCCCAGACCGTCCATCAGCTGAGGTAAATATTCCTCTTGACATCCCGCTAGACACATTCAACATACCGGCAACTCCAACACAAGGAAACCCCAACAACAAGCTGTAACACGTTCCAGATGGTGGCCTCTCCGACAGCGGCGAGCAACAGTCAAGATGCAGGTAGATACCAGGAACGCACGCTATTAAATTGTTGAGGATTGTTGGGGATGTTAGATCCGTAAAACTCATATTTTGTGATTTTTTTCTTTGTGGAGCTTGTATGCTGATGTATGCTTGGGGATTTTTTTACCACCCACGCATATAGTCGATTGACGAACTTATCGATTAAATGTTTGAAAACTTCCATATCAATACCGATCATATATATTTGTATAAATACGCTTGATTTGTGTGCCTGGTTGACCTGGTATTTTCTGGTTGACCGTAGAATACACTTTCTACCTCCTATCAACAATTCTGGATTGAGTTAGCTGAGTCGGAGACAACGGACCAGTACATCCTATTGGGTCCCTAGTTACCTGATTCTTCGTACCGTCCCGAGTAAGACGAATCAGTAGTAGCACTCAAGCTTAACGAACATAACGACCCATAACTCTGGATCAGCAATGATATACTCTGTGCAAAAGAAAATGTTTACAAGTATCAATAAAATAACTCGATCATAGAATTTGAACGACTGGTATCATGTAAGGATCGATAAATGTAAGTGAACTTGTCGATATTGAAACATGTTTCTGAACAATGAGATAAGATGATTGAAAAGTGTTAGAATTTGCAAGGTCAAGGTAAGGTCAGTGGGCATATGAACACGTTCAGAGTACAAACATTCAATTTACTGATGTATATTCGTATGAAATCTACTGTATATAAGAGAAAAATCCTGAAGTCGTATGGTGGATTCGGTTAGCTTTCGTCAATAATTTCAAACATTGGAGTTTCCTCTCATGTGGTAACCAGTATTGACTCGATGTGTGGAGACAGGACTCCTTATCACTATGTTTCGTTCCTTTCTCAACCTTGACGGTAATGTTTGAAAATACACTAGCGTGTTGGCTAGTTATGTGCCAAATACAAGTTGTTGAGTGGGTCAGCTCTAAAAGCCTGTTTGTTACATAGCATATTTCCTGGACAAGGTATTGTGAAGTAATCATATGTTCGTTTGGGTGCATAAACCCTGGTGTTGTGAGGTATTTTACATTGTCTGGGGACGCCTGCCTATATACTATGCTGTGCAATACTTTCGGTACAATTCACAAGCGCATATTCCATACAACTTGTTAGTCACAAACCATCGAAATGTTTTCTCATTTTTCCA